TCAGTAATCTTCCTTTATTGAAACAGGAATATTGGGGTTGAGGAAAGAAACGTTTGACAGGAAAAATGTCAAGGGCTTTTGTGGCTTTTCATACCTTCTTTTATATATCCACCAAAAAGCCACACCAAACCCACTGCCACTGAGTCGAGTCTGACTCATTACAGTGCTGAAGGACAAAGCAGAATTGCCCCTGTGGGTTTCTGGGACTAACTCTTTGCAGGACTAGAAAGCCTCACCTTTCTCCCTCAGAGCAACAAATGGTTTCAAACTGCTGACCTTGCGGTTAGTAGTCTAGCCCATAACACACCATGGCACCAGTGCTCCTCTCTTTCATACATACTCTAGTTAAATGAAACAAAGAAGCTGTCACCTAGTGAGACTCATAACTTCTCTGTCACAGTCTACTGCCACTGTGTCAGTTCTGACACATAGTGACCCCATATAGGGTTTCCAAGACTGTCAATCTCTATAGGAGTAGTTAGCATGCTCTTCCTCAGTTGGACAGGCTGGGAGGACAGTTTAAACTGACAACCCTGAGATTAGCAGCCTAACACTTATCCCACAGCACCACTAAGCCTTCTTCTACCCGACAGTACCTTGCAAAATATATATTTGCTGATTGAATCTTAAACCACACAAATAAAAATTCACTGTACTATAAAAATGTAAAATCCTACATAAAAAATCATTGGTATTTTGATTCATATACATCATGGAAACATCATCTTAAAATGCTAACAACAGGCTCCACAGAATTAATTTTAAAGGAGTATTTCCAAGAGCCTCTTCAATCGTAGTAGATTCTAATTGTATGACACTGCACATACTAAAGCAATTTCAGTCTGTTTGCTCTGATACCCACGCTTCCTAAGGAAACCTCTACAGCAATTGATTTTCTCCTCCAATAAGGGCCTTCAACAGGAGAAAGGGAAAAGATGGAAAAGAAGAAGATAAAAACAAAAAAAAGGGAGAGAGACAATTATTTATCATAATTAATAGACAGAAGATTTACTACGGCAAAATATCTGGCATATATAAAACACAATTCTAGAAATTGAAATGTTTCTTTCTAAAGTAACAATCAACAACTTCATTTCTGTTCAATCCTATCACATCAAAAACTATTTCATGGGAAAAAAAACACTTTCATGTGTTTTTTGGTATAAATCACTGGAAAACATATATTCCAGTGATATATACCATAAGTAGCTATGGAAATAAAAGGAAGTATTAAGAAAACTGGAGAATCCTGAAATCAAGGTTCTTATCCTAGGTTCATTTTTATCAACTATGATCTGTCTAAGCTTCAATTTCTTCACCCATAAAAAGGAAGAGATGCCAGGCTGTATGACCTCTGAAAAAGCCCTTCCGAATTCTTCTTTGCACTGGTTAAGTGGGAATGCCAGGGTAAGGAACACAATAAAGAAAGCGTTCCCTGGGCATGTACTCAGGTACAGTTAAGAGCTCTTGACACACAGAATCCAGAAGAAATAAACCCCTCAAGCACAATAAAGGGAGTAGCGATACCATGAGGATAGGGGGCAGGTGTGGGGAGAAAAGGGGAACGGATCGCAATGATCGACATATAACACCACCCACCTCCAGGGGCACGAACAACAGAGACGTGGGTCAATGAAGACAGCGGACAGTGTAAGATATGAAAATCATAATAATTTATCAATTATTATGGGTGGGAGGATAGGGGGGAAAGAGAAGCTAATAGCAAGGGCTCAAGTAGAAAGAAAATGTTTTGAAAATGATGATGGCAACATATGTACAAATGTGCTTGATACAATTGATGTATGTATTGTTATAAGAGCTGTAAGAGGCCCCAATAAAAAGATTTTTTTTTAAAAAAGGTTTTCCCTGGGTGTACAGTCAATTCTGCTGTACTGCTTGTTTTAAAAATGCAAATCTGTTCCAACACCAGTGCTGTATTATAGAACAATTTGAGTATGAATTCATCTGTCATATTTGCTCCTGTTTCATTCTGTCGGACAAGAAACACTAGACAATGCAGAAGACTGAATCAATCAGCCTAGCAACACACAAAACACACACACACACACACACACACACACCATAATACGTGATGAGCCGCACTATCTATATCTGTGCTACAACTTCCAGTCAGATTTCAGATAACCTACCTCCACCATTCATTGCTTCACAAGTTGTAACCTTCTAACTTTATTTCCACAAACCAACTATTTTTTCGAGGTAGAGTGCCATATTTTTTGCATTATTTGCACACTTTTAAAACCTTTTAGCACATGCAAAATTGTATGGGGTGAAGTGAATTACTTAATATGACCATTCTACACAAACATGGTCTTGTGACTCCTACAAAACGAATGACTAGGACTGTTCTGTCTCCCACAACACGCTCTGCTTTTCAGCTGGGTTCTACAATTCACTGGAAAAGGCGTCCAGGACTCACAGACTGTGCTCACGATGATGGGGTTTATTATGGAAAGTTAAAATCCCTGTGAGAAATGCTCAGGATACAGGTGTTCTGTCAGGATGTGTTACAGAACTGCTGTAGGGCTGCTAATAAAAGCCCAAAGAACATGCCCCTCGGCTATGAGCCTCAACCCCAAAGCACTGACGAGCCCCGTGGGTCAGCTGACACAGCCTCCCACTGAAGTCCCCAGAGGCACGGGTGCTCATTTCACAAGCACTCCGTTTCACTTGCTCTGCGGCCTGGGAAGGCCGCGGCCCCGGCTCACCCTCTGGCGCCTGGTCCTGCTGACGCTGCTTCTCTACTACTCCTCAGATGTCAAAGCTGTCTCCTGGATCAAGGAGGTTCACTGTGTAGGGATCTTGGGGCTCAGAGGATGCATTCCACCCAGTGTGACTCGTGACTTCTGTGAGATGCTGCAGTACGTTACACAACCCACAGGTTGAAGGGAGAGGACTGGGTGGTCCAGCAGTTCGGAAGATTTGGGGCATCTTTAACCTCCATCTCACAGGAGCCAGTTTGGAGCTGATTCTTATAAAAAGATAGCATTCATTTGCTGTGCTTCTGTTTTTAGTTTGTTCTCATCTTTTTCTCTGTGACACCATTAACGTTTCTGAGAATTACGTCCCATTTTCTTGTGATTTTCAGGAATGTAATATGTTATGACAGAACTGACTGCATTATTGCTTAGGAAATAAATAAATAACCAACTAGGTTGTTTTAACGACAATGGGATGATAAAGTTCTAGCAGGTCTGCACAAGCATTAAATAAAAATCAGAATATAGTCTTCTTATCTGTAAATTCTTTCCTCGACAACCTTTTAAAAAGTTTTTATTAAAAGATCATTTTATTGGGGTTCTTACAGCTCTTATAACAATCCTATACATGAATTGCATCAAGCATATTTGCACATATGTTGCCATCATTATTTTCTAGACATTTACTTTCTGTTGAGTCCTTGGTATCAGCAACTCTTACCTCCCCCACCTCCCGGTGACCCCTTGATAAATTATAAATGATTATTGTTGTCATATCTTCAACTGAGCACTGTCTCCCTTCCCCCACAATTTCTGCTGTTCATCCCCCTGGTGTGGGGGACAACTATGTGTTGATCATTGCGAGCCGTTCCCCCTTCCTCCTCTCCTTTCCCCATCTTCCCCCTACCCTCTTAACAACTATTTTTTCTCCAAAATATATCCACTGACTGGGTAGTGCCCAAATCAGTTATCAGATCTGAAGGTGGGAGGGTACCAGACATTGAATAAAACTTTGGTTTTGAGAAATGAAAAGGTGACGATGTTAAGGTTGTTTGTCTCTTTCATATATATTCTAAAATCAAAGCTTGATTCTGGCAGCAAATCTTGTCACGTACCACTGTCATAATGGCCTTCCACAGCTACTCAAGACACATAATGAAAACTCTGCATAAAAAGATGTATTCTCTAATACCTTGTAACAGCAGAGCAGACACCACAAAACCTTTGTTCGCACTCACTTTAATGCTTGATAAACTAGTGAAATAAAAAAAATCAACATTTTCTGGTTTTCATATAAAACAGAAATGGGGACACAAAGAACCGTTAGTACTGAAGCCAAGGGCCAACTAAAGCATGCCACTCAAAGCGAAAAGGCAGATAAAAATGTCGTTTAACATGCTCTTCTTTTTAAAGGAGGCTCTCACTGATAGGCCTCCAGGTTCTCTGTGGGAGTCTAACAGCCCCACACGGGAGAGACAGGCCTGAGGGGACGGCAGGCTTGCTTCAGAAAAGCACTGGAAGCCCTGTGGTTTTACATTTCACCAATGTGGCATGTCACCATCTAAATGAACCCTCCTGACCATTCAAATGGTTAAATGTTTGTTTACTCGGTAAGGAGCCAAAATGTGTGCTTTCTCATAATCGTAGCCAAGGAGCGTTCCCTGTGTGTGGAAACCAAGAGGAGCGCTGCCTCTACTGCTCTCGTCTTCTCCGTGATCAGCAAGCTGACATGTCAAGTGTCAGAAGCATCAACTTCCAAAGGAACTGAAGTAAAATTAGCATGGGATTTCACGGTGTGAAGACAAGCAGGTGGAAAAGCGTGGCAGCGGCAGGGACTGCCCCCACCAGGCAGACAGAGTCCACTGACTGTTCATTGTCTGAAAACCACAACATAGTGATAGTTCAGTCAAAGGTCCAGTGGATACAACTTGAAACTCCTTCACCAAGCATTTTAATGAGCTAAGGAATGGGAAGTGTCTCAAAATGTGTTCCAAATGATGTTTCTAATTCTTCTCAACGAAAATGTCTGCTCACCCAAAAGATTCAAAGTTATACGAATTATATGTCTCACATGGAAACAGAAAATAAGGAAAGAGGCAACCAGAAAACCAAAAAACAAAAGTGATACTATTCAGCATTTCTCAACAAAAGTTGGCACCTACCCCACCTGAAAGAAATCACTTAAGAAACTCCTATTGCATCAAGGCTAAATATGTATGTTAATCAGGTTTTGGGGATGTAGCCCTTTTAAAGATTTAAACCAGAGAATGTTCCCCTTACATATCTGGATGGCTCTTCTAGGTTCTGGTCATTCATGTCAGTAGGAGTAATCCGGGTGGCCATAGGTCCCTCGGCAAAAAGTTTTGGTAACTGGCCCCTGAACTCAGACGGAATGAACTGAAGCTGCCAACTGTCAGAAACAAATAAGGAGACAAAGAAACACACAGGGGAATCACATTGCTTAAATGTGCTTGAAACACACACTCACCAAAAAAAGTAAGTCACGTGAAAAACATTGCATTTGGAGAAAAAAAATCTTTCTGCTAAAACCTCAGTCAAGGAGCATTGAGGCAGAGGTCACAAATCAGTCCAAGATCATTGGGAAATTTAAAAGAAGTCTTACAACCCATTCCACCAACTGTCTCTAATGAAATATGCAGGCAAGTAATCTTGCCATCATATAGCAGAGGAGCTTCAAAGTTATTGCCAGGTGATTGGAAGACTTTTCAAAATGAAAGCAAAGTCCTGAATTTTATGTGTAAAAAAAGTGCCAAAATTTTTTTCAATGAAAAAAATTAACAACTTCATCAGATATACAGAGTGGAATTTAATATTTGACACTAAGATCACACCATAAGTACAGTACTTTGTTCCTCACTAATCCTCAAAAGTGTTTTTATTTATCAAATTATTTGGAATATAAAAGGCAAGGGCCTAAGTCAATTCTCAAAAAACACATTTTAATGTAAGTGTTAATGAATGGGCGCTCTGGTGGCATAGAGATCACACATTGGGCTACAAACTGAAAGGTTAGTCAGTTCAAAGCCACCAGCCACCCTGCAGGAGAAAGACGAGGCTTTCGACACCCGTAAAGAATTACAGTCTAGGAAACGCACAGGGGCTGTTTCTACCCTGTCCTATACGATTGCCATGTGTCGGAACTGACTCAATGGCAGTGAGGGTTTTTTGTTTGCTTTTCATTAATGACTGCACAAGTCTTTACATCAAATACAAGCTATCACACCAGGTAAAGGTAAGCCGGCCCTCCAATGGAGGAGCATGACTCATCTTAACCAAATTACCCTTTTACCTTAAAAGGATTCTACCCAGTCTGAGTCAAGCACCTGGACAGAACCCGAAAGCCTATTTCCCACACCCACCAGCAGACAGCATGAAGAAGAGCGGGCAGCTGTCTTAACTACCTCTTTCCACGGTGTTTGCAAGTTGGTGAACTTTGACCACTGGGGGTAGAAAGAATATGCTTCCCTAAAACATTTGTCTTACTAGAGTTTCTAGACTGTTTTGAGAAGTAAACCTCTTCTGAATCCTGTTACGATAGAGCTGTCGGTAGGACTCCTAAGAAAGAGCCTTAGGAGTGCCACAACACTGTGCTATCACAAGTCCCCAAATATAAGTGGCTATGGACAACACAAGGCACACAGCCAGTCACTGGTTCCCAAGGAGCACAGGAGATGGGGCACAGCGCAGACCCCACAGCACTCTGAGATGATACAGCCATCAATCACATTTTGTGAAAACTCCAAAAAGAATGAGATCTGAAGAGGACAGTGTGGATTAAAGGACAACTTACTTATCAGGCAAAAGGAAGCTGCTGGGAAATCGATACCACTCCTTCCCGACACAGACATTCACAGGTCTGCCTTCTGGTACAGTGTGGATAGTTGGGTCTGTAGCAATGCGGTGAAATTCTGGATACAAATCAAGGGGCCCATGATATCCTGAAAGGGGAAAAGGTTAGTGAAAGCGAAGGTGAGGAAGAGGAGACTGGTTATTTCCTTACAGTGCACACTAACGCCTCACAGGAATCTGGATACATCTACGGTTGTGAAGGTGCAAGTAGCTCCACAGGAAGCCTGCTGCGCAGCACCTCCTCTGCAGGAAGAAGTCGCAGCAGAGCTCCTGCTTCCCCTGTCACTCTTTTAACTTCATGCTCTTTGAGCATGTTTACTGTGCTGGGTCCAAATAGTGAGTGCAAAAAAGATTATCATTGTGGGAATTGAGCCACAAATTTGTATTCAAAGTTTGGTGGTGGGATTAGTGTTTTTGAGGGAGGTGGAAGAAGGTGTCAATGAATCATCCTTTGAGAGTAAAAAATCAGTAGAGAGAAATTATAATTAATCACACTAAAAGGAATTCTCAATCTTTTCTTCAATACTTAGGTATAAAAGTCATAGTCCAGCAAGTATTAAATATTAAATCTAGTGTTTTTTTCCTATAGAAAAATCATCTTTCTAGCTTCATCTGAATATGTATTAAACAATTGTGCATTAAGCCAACCCCCTGCTGAAGTGTCACGTGAGTCTGGGTTAAGATCCTCTCAGTACACCTACCCTTGAACAGTGCCACAGAGCGAGAAAAGGATAAGAGCCCAAACAAGAAGACTGTTCCTAATGCCAGCCAATTGGATGTCACGGTGTAATGCTCCAGGCAGTAACACTGAAACACAAAGTGGTAACATTTCTAGAAGGGAAGAAAATTGTATTGAAAGCAGAAGATATACTCTGCAGAATATACAAAATCATTAGACATCACAATAACACCAAAAATGAAACAGAAAAACGAGGTTCTATTAAGGGGCTGAACATTTATACATATTTCATGAGGTTCTCTTTCCACATTCGAAGAAAAAAGTGATCTTTATCTATAGATCAGCTGAGGAAATGGCATGGGGGCCACATCTCACCTTCTCTGGCTACACAAGGAAGGTAGAGAATCCAGATCCAAACGAGCCCAAGGCTGGGGACCACAAGGCAGACATGCCTCCACACTCCATCTTTCCTTTACCTGATTCTCAGACCAATCATCCCTCCTTCCACATGCTACTTGTCTCCTGGGTTTGATAATCTATTGCAATGGCGCCACAGAACTCACATACAATATTCACAATTAGGGAGAGATGGTGGTAATTAGGGAAGTAAAAACAGATTATAAAGTGTTAAGGATAACAATTCTTTTGTCCACAGTGCATCTTCTTAGCCATGATGGCAGGTCTGTCTCTCCTTGGTCCTTGGCTTCTCAGTCAAGTGGTTCCGTGGCCTCTTGGCTCCTACCTGGTTCTGTGGGCTGGAAAGTGTGCAGCTCTCAGTCTTGGTGCTACTCCTCTGTTCTGCCTCAGCTTAACCATGGCTTCACAGATCTGCCTCACAGCTTCAGCATGGCTTCTCTGATTTCCCTCATGGTCTCAGGCTGCGCGCTCTGGTGCCTCTGCTGCCTCCACCACTTCAGGCAGGGATCTTGCATGTGCTCCACTGGTGGCTCTTTTTTCTTGATGGTCACAGGGTTCTCTTCCTGCTTCTCAGATGACTCTCTTACACCCAAAGGAATGGCAAAACTGACCAATCCCCTCCTTAGAGAACTGTATACCTTATCTGCTTGGTCCCACACAATCATCTGGTGGGAATGACAGAGGCCAAAGTATACTATGTAGTAATTTCACTTCAGTCCATCAGTCTAGTCAGAGGGCCTGTCAAGGTTGTTCTGTCAGATGCTGTTGAGTTGGTTCCAAGGCATAGCAACCACCTGTACAAAGAACAAAATACTACCTAGTCCTGTACCATTCTCATACAGGACAGGCAGCTTTGTTTGTTCTTCTGGAAGTCCATGCTGCTTTTAATATTCTTCATCAATAACATAATTCAAATGCATCAATTCTGCCCCAGTCTTCCTTATTAATTATATTGCTTTCACATGCATATGAGGTGATTGGAAATACCATGGTTTGGGTCAAGTGCACTTTAGTCCTAAAGTGGCTTCTTTGGTTCTTAGCACTTTAAAGGGGTCGTGTGTAGCAGATTTCCCCAGTGCAAAATAGCGTTGGACCTCTTGACTGCTACTTCCAAGAGCATGGATTGGAGATCCGAGGGAAATGAAAGCCTTGACAACTTCAAGCCTTTTCCCACTTATCATGCTGTTGTTTATTGATCCAGTTGTAACAATTTATATATATGTATATATGTTTTACAGTTTTATTGGCACTTAACCCACATATTACACAATTCAGTAGTTCACTCATATCAAGAAGAATTGTACAATTTGTATATTCTTTACATTGAGTTGCATTCCACACTGAAGGGTTCCATCACTAAGTGCTTCAAGTCCTCTTCATTTTCAGAATTAGACAAAAAGACCAAGTCGTTCTGGTACAGTGATTCTGGGTCTCTTTCCATCTCCTTTTGATTCTCCTACGTTGTTTAATATTTTGCCCATAGAATCCTTCGGTATTACACGCGAGACTTGACTATTTTTCCCCTTTAGTTCCTTCATCTAGAGCAGCGGTTCTCAACCCGTGGGTCGCAACCCCTTTGGGGGTCAAACAACCCTTTCACAGGGGTCGCCTGATTTATAACAGTAGCAAAATGACAGTGATGAAGTAGCAACAAAAATAATGTCATGGTTGGGGGAGCACCACAACATGAAGAACTGTATGAAAGGGTTGCAGCATTAGGAAGGTTGAGAACCACTGATCTAGAGATATAGTGTAATCTTCCCTTTGGGTTCTATAGCTCAAGATCTTTGCACATTTCCTTATAATGTTACTTTGTCTTCTCAAGCTGTGCTTAAAAATTTCCATTTGCTTAGCTACTCTACATTTACGAGCAAGTTTCAATCTCTTTTGACATTCACTTTGGTCTTTTCTTTTAAAAGGAACATGATTACCGTATATACTCATACATAGGCTGAGTTTTTCAGCACATTTTTTAATGTAGTTTTTGTGCTAAAATTAGGTGCCTTGGCTGATATTTGGGTTGGCTTGTACTCAAGTATATATGCTATATGATTCTTTCAAGGTTGATGTCAAAGTTGTTGTCTGACATGGTCTAAATCAAAGAGTGCAGAATTCTTAGGGGGAGGCTTGGAGAGATGGCAGCACCACTTTCAGAGTGTATGAGTCTAGATCAGTGGTTCTCAATCTTCCTAATGCTGCACCCTTTAATACAGTTCTTCATGTGTGGTGATCCCCCAACCATAAAATGATTTTTGTTGCTACTTCATAACTGTAATTTTGCTACTGTTATGAATCGGGCGCCGCCTGTAAAAGGATCATTTGATCCCCAAAGGGGTTGCAACCCACAGGTTGAAAATCACTGGGTTCAGTTATTGGCAGAGTGGGTGGGCAGCACTAAAAGAGCTTTGTAACACTGCCCAAGCAGAACAGAAGCTAAGGTGTCACACAGCTGAGAGGCTGATGTCCAGAGAAGGCATGCCTGAAGGATGGCTGAAAGGAGGCTGTCCTGATTGAAGAACTGTATCCTGAGTGTTTCTCATCCTGTCAACTTCCCTAATAAACTCCATAATCATGAGTAATGTCTGTCAGCTCTTTGTGACCATTGCAACAAATGGAACCCAGCAGAGAAGTTAAGAGTCCTGTGGGAGGTATGGCTGGTGTCAGAGCTGGTAAAGAAGTTGGAGTGAAGAGGCTTGACTGATCTCTGCCTTGTCGGCATCTGCCTTTGGATAATGTTGAGTTTGATTCTAGTTTCCCCGGTGACGTCAGAGGAGGCCAGATACTGCCCACACGCCATGTTTACACAACAGCTTCACATTTTGATATTTTTGTTTAATACAGATTTCTACAATTTTGTAGCAATACTTTTTAATTTGTCCTTCTATATCTAAGATACACTAAAATCCACTGAACTGTATAGTTTAAATGGGTGAATTCCATATGAAGTATGTCTCTATAAAACTATTTTAAAAAATAAAAAACCCTATGACCCTCGCTATCTCTCTACGAATTGCAAATGGTGGCAGAGGGCAAGCATGAGCCCAGACTCTAGAGGCTGCTGAGGTTATCAGTACACTGGTGTTCAAATAAGGGTAAGAAGAACTGATAGGGAATTGACCTGAATGAGCTTTAAGCCCAGATTACAAAGTGTCTCATACTGCCAACTGCCTGAGACAATCCCAAACACCTGAGCAAATTGTATTCTGCTCTAGCAGTTGATGAGCAGACATTCCATTAGCTCTGCTAAAGTGCTACTGTTCCGTAGTGGGCTCATAATACACAGTAAATTTTAAAAGCACCTTTAATAGCAATTGGATTCTTGTTGGCAACAGAGAAAAAGTAACACACACCTACAAATATGTCATCAGCAAATAAAAATTTGATAAACAACCAATAATAACACTTTAGTAATATGGCTGTAGAAGTTTAATGTTAAGAATTTAAAAATAAAACATTCTTAGCTGGAAGCATTCTGTAATTTGTCCTTAGGTTTTGTAAGTGATTATTTAAAAGCAAAATGAAACACCTTTCTCTGAAACTCACCTGCAGTGCAGAAAGAGCCACAGCTCCACAGAGACATATGAGTGGATACACAGGGAACAGAAATCGCTCCTCTTTGTGAGGCTGGATGAAGAAAATGATAAACCATATATACATTGGAGCCAACGTAAGCCAATATGGATGGCCTAAATGCTGAACTGCAAGACACAGACAAAATATCCGCCTTTCACATATTAGAACAAAACATTACATTTCATTTCAATGTTCTCTTCATTCTAGAGTTGCAAGTATACCCTAGGGCACCCCATAAAATGTTCCACCTCTTATACACAACAACTGTTCTCCAATGCAATGAAGGCTTCAAATAGGAAGAGAGATGTACTCTGTGGCTTCCCTCTAACGCCCAGAATCTAAGGCAAGCACAGTACTGGGGATGGCTGGAACACAGATGAAAGTCAGGTTAATGGGTAAGAGGGCTTAGTAAGTTCTACATTAGATGAAAAAAAGGGGGGGAAAGTATTCTACCTCTAAAGAATCCTGTCACTAAAAATAAAGGTTCTAAGATTGGCCAGAAACATAATATAGATTGATTTATTGGGTTTTAATATTGGGGTTCAGTTTTATATGGTAATCTGAGTGTTTTTTAATTTTTGCTTTGAAATAAGCTCTTTGCCATTTGTAGTTGATGAGTGTTACGTTTTCTCTCTTTGTCTCCAATACCCATGTACCATAAATCCCAAAATTAGAACCAAAAATGCACTTATAGCCTGGGAAAGAATTAAAGAAATTTAATGAACACTGAGACTCCAGCACCTGCTGGAAATTCCTGTGGTTAGGTGCAGGAACACTGCGTGATAAGCTCGCAAACCCCAGTGAAGACGTCTCCTGCTGTGCTTACTTACTTCTAGGATAATGAGCAGTGCTGGGGAGGAAAGGTACACAGTGCCCCCTGGTGTCCACTAACTGTATCTACAGCAAGCAGCTTAAACACTCCAGACCAGGATTTGTCAGGACCCACCTGAGCAATGCCTACCTAACGTGTTCTCAGGTTTGTATCTTGGAAAGAAATTGTTTAGGAATAAAAATTCTTGAACTATAACAGCAAGATTTTTTTAACTTTATCAAAAAATTTTAGGTTATAATTTGGAATCTATACCTTTCCCAGGAAACATAGGTTGGAATATTGTTTATTCTAAGAAAATTCATCAATTTTCTGCCAGTGAAGAGTCTTTCTCTTCTCTGCATTGTAAAGGCTAAGCTGTAACTTTTAAAAATATGGCCTAAAATTTTAAAGTGTCCACCATAAAGTGTATAAAATTTTAACTACAGCAGTATTCATATTAAGATAATGAGTATTGATGTCCTGTTCCCTTATATTTTTTATATTTTTTAAGCTTCACAATGTATTGTATTAAAACAATAAATCCATATATAATATGTATATAAAACTGTGAAGAAAAGAATACACTCATCTCTTATGAAATGGGCACATATGGACATACACAATTAAAGCCAAAACTGGATTCATACAGTAAGAAAAGTTTAATACCCTGTGATTTCCACATCTGCCACCAGAATTTCCAAAATTTCCACAAGGATACATTATTTTGATTGCCAGAAAAATAAGTTACTTTAAAAAAAATTTAAAGTTATCCCTAAGAAATATAAGAAATGGGGGGAATGAGTTAACTCCCAATGAATCAAGCAGCTGCATGTAGACTGTGGGTACCATGCAAGATGAACGATCTGTTTTTCAAAGAAATCACTGAGGGAAACAAAAAGAACCTTAAGAAACATAGCACTTAATCCGTGCCCCTATTCCAAACAAAGTGAAAGAGCTATTTTAAAAATCCCTTAGGAGATCTAAATATCAACTGGGTATTGAGTGAGACTAACAATAATTGTTCCTTCTATTTTTTAGGATAGTAGCATTACGATTATGCTTAAGAAAAAAAGCCCCAAGCTCCCAAATCAATAACATAACCTGACACCTGGAACAATTAGAAAAGGGAGCGCAAAAGAAGACCAACGCTACCGGAGGAGGAAAGAACAGACCAAAGCAGAAGTAAACCTAAACAGGAAAGACAAAAACAACAGAAAGAATCCACAAAGAAAGGATCAATAAAATAGGCAAACCACTGGTCAAATATATAATTTTTTTTAAGAATGAGAAGATACAAATAAAAATAAGGAATGAAAATAGAGATACAACAGCAAATCCAACTAGGATAAAGAAGTTCCAAACAGAAAACTATGGAAAACTGTACTCCAAAATATGTGAAAACCTAAAAGGTACAAATTTCTCGAAACACACTACTTAACTAAATGAACACAAATATAGTAGAAAAGTTAAACAGTCCCATAATAAAAGAAGAGATGGAAAATGTCATTACAAATTGCCAACACTACCACAAAGATGGTCTCACGAGGCAATATTACTCACATTCAGAGAAGAGCTGCATCAATTCTACTGAAAGTCTTCCAAAACACAGAAGAGGAAGTAGTACTCCCTAACTCGTTCTATGAAGGCGGCATCGTCCTGATACTAAAAACAGGTAAGGAGCACCACCACCCCCACCCCACCCCCACACACAGGGAGAGAAAGCTAGAAGGAGAAACTATTAAAATATATATATATATGTATATACAACTCTTGATATGACTGAGTTATTGAATTATATGGTACATGGATTATGGACCAAAAAAGCTATTTATTTGGTTTTTTAAACAAAAAATAAAAAGCATACTACATGATCAGGTGGGATTCATACCAGGAATGCAAAGGTGATTGGTTCAGTGTTAGAAAACCAATCAATGTAATTCCCCACACAAATAAAACACAGGAAAAGCATCATATGATCTCAATCAACAAAGAAAAGGCATTGGATGAAATCCAGCACTCTTTCCTGATAAAAATTCTCAGCAAAATAGGAATCAAAGAGAAATTCCTCAACATAATTAAGGGCATATATGCAAAACCAACAGCCAAAATTTATTCTCAGTTGCGAAAGATTGAGAACATTCCCTTTAATAACAGGAACAAATCAGCTCTTATTCAATATTGCACTGAAAACCTATGTAGAGCAGTAAAGTAAGAAAGGGGAATAAAAGGTATCAAAATTGGAAAAGAGGTAAAACTATCCTTATTCACAGATGTCATGATCCTATACATAGAAAATTCTAGAGACTCCACAAGACAGTCACTAGAACTAATACAAATAATTTAGCAGAGTGGCAGGGCCCCAGAGTGATACATAGACAGTTGTTGAGTTCCTCTCCACTTACCAGGAGGGCTCTGAGAAGAACATTACAGAAACAACACCACTTCTAAATAGGATAAAATACCGAGGCATAAACCTAACCAGACATGTAAAGACTAATACATTAAAAAATAACAAAAACTAGAAAATGTCATAGCAAGAACCTCAGAGATCCAATTAAAGGGGAAAATATTCCATGCTCATGGATTAGAATACCACTCCACAAATGTCAATACCACCAACAGACAATCTGCAATCCCAATCCAAAATCCAAAAAACCCTAATCTCTAATTTCATAAGGGAAGGAAAGAGCACCAAACAGCCAAAGAATTACTGAAGTAGAACAAAGCCTTGCCCTTCCTGACCTCAAAATTTACTGCACATAAAGAAAATATCTATAATTCAAAAACGATCCAATTTAAAAAGGAGCAACAAACATGAACAGACATCCACCACCTGGAAGCATCCCACAAACACGA